ACGTTTATCTTGTTTATCAATAATAAAAAAAAATAATTAAGATAAATACGGGAACAATTGTCACAACAATAACACAATCATATTTAACAATTATTTAAAGATATTAAATAATTTTATATAAGTGATCCCAAATAATACCAAAGGTTTGCAAAAGAAATCCAATAAAATACAAATACATAATTTCATCTTAACAATTTTCAAAATCAAGCTTCTGTTGAAAGAAAAATAAAAAGATGAAAAAACATTTGGTGTTCCAAACATCATCAATATTGACTTCGGCTTCGTTTGAGACGGCTTTCTTACTGTTTCATAAAGCAGCTTTCAAGTACAAAAATTAAAAAATTTATACTAAAAAGCTGCTTTAATAAGCAGTAAAAAAGCCGTTTGCGCTGGTTTTCTTCTTGCTTTTTAAAACAGCTTTCTAGCACAAAAATTTCTTGAATTTGAAATTTTTGTACTAAAAAGCCGTTTTAAAAAGTAGCACAAAAGCTGTCCCAAATAAAACCTTAGAGAATTCAGTAACATATCACTGCTGCCTGCTCCTTTGCTGGCGAGTGTATTCCCATAGAGCAATGGCACCACTTACATGAACATTGAGTGATCTGATTACACCCAGCTGAGGAATCTCAACACAAGCATCTAAAACATGAATAATATCTACAGGAATCCCCTCCTTTTCTCGTCCCAGCACTAAAACCTGCAAAGCGTTGGGGATCATTACACCACTAATTAAACTTCTGAGCTATTTATGTCGTTTTAGAAAAGGGATCACCGTTTTGTTTGGGAAGGCAAACTGGTCCAGCGCTGTGCTATTTGCAGTTTGCTCCAGGCCCAGAATGGAGAATCCTTCTCTCCTTTTCTTCTCTAGAAAAACTTTAATGCTGCAAACTGGAACCTCTATGATTGGTATCCACTTCTCAGCTGTGACACTGTAGTGACCCCATGGATTACACACAAAATAAGTACTAAAAACCAACTCCTGTAGATTAAGGTTTCGTTTGGGACGACTTTTTTAATGCTTCTTAAAACAGCTTTTTAGTACAAATTTTTTAATTTTTGTATAAAAAAGCTGCTTTAAGAAGCAATAAGAAAACCGTCCCAAACAGAGCCAAAGTCTTCATTTGGGACGGTTTTCTTACTATTTCATAAAGCAGCTTTCTAGTACAAAAATTAAAATTTTTATACAAAAAAGCTGCTTTAAGAAGCAGAAAGAAAGTCGTCCCAAACTAATATGCATTGAGTTCTCTAATATGCATTACTGCTTTCACATAATAATTTCTTCAGATAAAGGACAAGCTTTTCAGATTAGTAAGTTTTTAAATAGTCTGCATTGATGAAAGAAGTTCCAAAACTGTCCAAAATAACAACTTCTATTTACCAAAAACGACTCGTAAAATTATACGTTAGCAATTAAACAGATTAGCTCCCATCCACAAAAGCTTTCCAAGCTCGATTTGATTTAGAGGAATCTAATAGGAGTAAAAGATGGCTGACCTTATAAGTTGGAACTGTTTGTCCTGCATAATACTTGTATCAGCAACTGCAAGACACGCGGCCCTAAACACCTATGTGCAACAACAAACAAAGATGATTCAAGACTAAATGGAAGAAACACAGCCACTCGTTGATTTTATTTTTTTATTTTGGGTACCTCACAAGTCCTTGCTAACCCAGCAAGATTGGGAATTCGATCAAGCAATGATGCAACAAGAATTATTTGTTGTTGCCTTTCTCTAACCTTTCCCATGACTTCTTTTCTTGCTTGAATCGCTGAGCTCACAAGCTGATCTTCCATTTCTAATTCTGATGTAAAAATTAAAATAAAGAAAGTTTTATAAAATTGCAATTAGGGCTATGATGTATGGATTTGAATGTTGGATCTAAGTAAATTCGTTGTAATCGATGTTGAGTGTAGCAAAAATGAAACGCTAAAATGAAAGCGCATCAAAACTAGGGATGATAAATTAAATCATGACTATTTTAGAGGAAATATTGGATCGAGAATGATTAAAGATAAAATAGCTAAATATAAATTTACTTGAAAGAAATGTTTAATATATTTTTTTTAGAAAAATTATAATTACTTGAAAATTATATTTAATAAATGTTTAATTAAAAATGAATAAAATACCCTTACATTTAACATCATTAACTCCAACATTAGATGTTGGGACAAAAAAAGTTCAATTTTAAAGAGTTGAGGGACTTAATTAGTCCCTCAAAAGAGTTGGAAATTATTTTGATCCGTCATAAATAGTTGAGGGATTATTTTGGCCCTTTTTTCATAGTAACTACGTTAACTGGTAATGCATTACCTGAAAGTATTGTGGACATGCTGGAACTTGAAAGAAAGCGAAGATCATCATATGCTGCCTGTTTCTCATGTCCATGAAGAGTAATTTTCTTTTGAAAGTCCAAATTA